GAGCCATAGAGCCACTTCCGGTTTTCTGGTGGTTATTGGATCTCAGCCTCCTGAGTTGTTAGGGTTACAGGAATGAACTACTGGTTCAGCAAGAACTTCATTTCCTTTGAGTCAATGGTTTCTCAGGAACATCATTTCTATTTATACTCTACCATTTAATTTCTGGTTTAAGGATCATGTTTTTTTTTCTTTCATCAGTTTGTTTATGTGGACACTATCTTCCCTGGGGCCTCCCTTCTTACTAGGTTTGTACCATTCCTGTAGTTGGGGGCACACTGTCTTTTACTTTCCAGTCTTCTTAAAAATCATTTCTAACTCCATCTAAGTCATCGTCATTCAGCTTTAGGAAGATGACCAGAACCACTCACTGAATAATAAGACAACTTTCTTTTTATAAACTTGTTTGTAATTTATCATCAGTCTATTAAGAAAAACCCAGTCCCATTAATCTGGAAGCCCTTAGGAAGGAATGTATGACGCAGAAGTAAAATTGAGCTTCTCATTCTGTATGGAAGAGTCCTGTGACAGAATGCTGTGAATAAGATGACATGGGACAAAGGAGGATGAATATGGTAGAAGTAAATTGTTTGCTGCTATGGAAACAGAACAATAAAACCTGCCAAAATTGTTTTTTAGGCAGGAGGGGATGGGAAGCTGGGAGAGTAATAGAGGGGTGAGATTAGAATACATTGTAAACACATGTGGAAATGCAACAATTAAATACTCCCATAACTAATGTAAGCAATACATATACATCTATATACACAGAGATGAATGAGAGAACAATGTATAACTTTTGCAAAAAAAAATACCACCCCAACACATCTCATTGACATAAACATTTGCACACAAGTAACAAGTTGATCATTACAATTCTGTCTAAATCTTAAAAAAAAAAACTTCAAAGGATATCCAAGCCCTCAACTCAAAATAGTTATGACAATTTTGGAAGTTAGCTGTGTAGAAATCTGATTGTATCTTTCCAGAAGGATCATAATAGAAATATGGTTTATTTTCCCAGCCTAATCCACAAGACGCTAATCCTAACAACTAAAAATACCCTTTTGCTTCCAGAGAAACAAACCACCATGAAAACTGAGTTTGAAGATGGACTTGACAATCTCCAAAACAAGCTCTCATGATTCTGGCCAGCAACAGAGGGTGTGGACACAGAATTGTGTAGGTGAACCAGCTCACAGAGGCCAGGGCTGGCAAGTATCCAGCTCAGGGAGAGTGCTTCATTTGGGCTGGAGGACTCAGGGAGAACATTTTTGGAAATACTCTTTAATAGAGGACAAACTCTCTGCCTTCTTCTCCTTTACTTAGCTGCAAAAGCATGCAGAAGAAGAGAAGGAACACGTTTTGCAATGTCTGTGCCCTTCCCTGCCCCAGAGCTGGCAACACACACAAAGAGCTCAGGGTTTAGATGAACAAGCTCAGCAGGAAAATATAGGAAATCCTGGGTCCAAAATTTAGAAAATGAATAATTAAATTTCTGTGTATGTGTGTGCACATGTGTGCCAGGAGTAGGGCTTGGACTCAGGGCCTGGGGGTTGTTCCTTAGAATTTTGCTCAAGGCTAGTGCTCTTCCACTTAAATCCCACCTCCACTTCCAGCTCTTTGCTGGTTAACTGCAGAGTCTTAAACACTGCTGTGTCTAGGCTGGCTGTGAAGCTCCATGCTGACATGGCAGCCTCCAACTAGCTATATAATCTAGACCTAAAAAAATTGATACCTTTAAGGAAAAAAATAGATAGTGCTTTAAGTCACACACACAAAGAAAGAAAAGGAAGAAAAAAGGAGATAATTCCTCAAATTATAAGCTTATAAGCTCCCAGGACACTGTACATCCTCTAGGACTATTCACTTTTAGTGGTCAAATAACATCACAGGGACATTTTAAGAGAAATGTAATTGTATAAACGATATCTTTCAATCATTTGAAGCCCACAGAACCTCATTTCCATTTTTAATGTGTATTGCTTGCTTATTCACTCAATGTACTAAAGGATGCATATTAAACAGATATAATTTATAGTTTATCTATAGTTATGCAAGAAAAAAGTAGGTTCACAGCAAAGTGTTAATGGCAGATGTCACCAGAAACATCGATAATTGCATCTTTTATGTGGGACATTTTTAAATGTTCATAATGTTGGTAGAATTTGTTCTTGCATATAAAAATCCTCTTTCAGGTCTATTTTGTTGTTGTTTTTTGCAAATGAAAATTTCCAAGAGGAATTGAGTTGGTAAAGTCAAGTAGCTACTGTTGAATATGAAACATAGAGACAGATAGGAGAGTGTATAGAAAATAATTTGCAAAAATCTTAGAGCAAAGGTAACAATGACTGAATAGTAAATGAAAAGCACTAAAACTATTTTAATACATGAAAGTGAAGTTTCTTTGGAAAACGATACGGGTGCACTCATGTAAAGACTTAGCTTCTTGCATTGGTTTATTATCTTTAGTCTGCTTTAGTAACTGCAGCTGGTATTCAAGATTTGTTATGATGGTATGTCACTTTTTACAGCTATGTTGTTGAACATCTCCATACCTAATTTGCTTTTCAAAATTGTATCTAATTTTACTGTGCTAAGGAGTTATGCTGCTTATGAGTGCAGCACATCTTGATTAAAAAGTCACCCCTCCTGGCTACTCCTCCATCTCTCCCAACGCTCCCCTGCCGTTCCTCCAGCTCCCAGGTTCCATTCTCACGAACGTACATGGTATAGTGTGGCTCTATTTGTCTGTCATTCCTCATATTGACTTTAAGTCCTATTTTCCAGGTCTTTTTCAAACCAATCTGTATTTTCCACTCTCTGTTTTGGCTGATAGCATGCTTGTATAGCCCTACTCCAGGATACTGCTAGAATACAGGACATACAAGAGCTTCTGATGCAGAACAGAAGTACCAAGAGGTCTGCAGCCAGACACAAATGACTTTCCAGAATGAAGGGCAATTAATTCTCATGTATTATACTGTATATAATAAACATCTACAGATAGATATGAGGGCATGAGAGAAAATTTTCAGGGCTGTTATCAAGTTTAAATATAATACATGATAAATACCTTTACTTTTGTCTTTGTCCCATTAAAACATAGCTATTCAATTTTTTTTCAATATGAAAACATTTGCTATTTTTTTATTGTGAAAATACTGTACAGAGGGGTAAACTTTTTTGCAGGGGAGTCTGGTCGTGGGCCTGAACTTCTGCAGGATTTTTTCCCCTTTTGCTCAAGGAGTAGTTTTCTACCACTTGAGCCACAGTTCCACTTCCAGCTTTTTTAGTAGTTTATTGGAAGTAAGAGTCTCATGGACTTTCTTTCCCAGGGTGGCTTTGAATTGCAATTCTCAGATCTCAGCCTCCTGAGTAGCTAGGATTACAGGCGTGAGCCACCAGTGCCTGGCTTAATTACAAAGTAATTGGGCTACATATTGGTGGCTAATGCATATTTAAGCTACCCTGGAGGCTCAGACCTGATGATCATAGTCAAGCAAGCCAAGGCAGAAAAGTCTATGAGACTCTACTTCAATTAACTAGCAAAAAAAGCTGAGGCATGGCTCAAGTGGTACAATACCAGCCTGAGCAAGAAAGCTAAGCATGAGCGTAAGGCTCTCAGTTGGAGACCTGCTACCCACCCCCCTCCAAATTAATTAACTAATTTAAAGACAATTTTTTCCTCATGAGTTTACTTAGGGACTTTCCTACTGAAGTATGTAGATTTTTTTTCCCTTAGCTATTTTTTTTTGGTAAATCAAGATCACAAAAACGACAAATAATGTTGTTGTTGATTTAGTATGGATATTGTTGCATGATAGATAATTTATGCTTTGACTACAAAGCTACCATGAAAACAGCAGTTTAGGGCAAAAGCGGCAACCAGTACACTGGGTGTAGGGGGGAAGAGATAGAAGGAGTTGAACACAGAGTTTTGTTATATAACAGGGCATTACTGTTCTTAAGGTCAATATTGGTAAGTACATTGCCTCCTTCCTCCATACCATCTGACAGGCTATAATTCATGTTGTTATTGAGTCTGTTAAGTTTCATGCGCTATACCTGAGGACCTAGGGTTTTTTGTTTTGTTTTTTATTTTTGGTGGTACTGAGGTTTGAACTCAAGGCTTTACACCTGCTACACAGGTATTCTACCCTTTAAAACCACACCCTTCTTATTTAGGGTCTATGTTGGCTGGGATCACCATCCTTCTATTTATGCTTTCTGTCATAGCTGGGGTGAAAAATATCACTATGCTCAGCCTTTTCTATTGAGATGGGATCTTAAGAATCTTTTTTTTTCCCCCGGGTGGACCTTGAACTGTGATCTTCCTGATCTCTCAAACAGCTAAGATTACCCGTGTGCATCACTGGTGCCTGACTTTGCTGTTTTGTTTGCATTTCCATCTTTTAGACATATTCTTCTGCTCTCTCAAACTGGCTCAGCATTGTTCTTCAATATGATTTACGGCTCAAAAGACTTTCTGTTGACTGCATTCATGCCGAACTGTAAATCATGTTTGCAACAGTTGGTTTATATTGAAGAACGGAGAACAAAGTCCGTGTCTGTCCACACCAAATCAAAAGAAGCTAGTAGGATCACAGTCTAAATAATCAAAGGCTACGAGGATTTACAACAACATGATTAGTACATGATTAATCATGTACTAATCAAACCAGCAAACCAGCTTGTACCCGATGTGAACGAAGTCATCCAGTCTCATATTAAAGTCCTGGGGCACTGACTCTAATCAGTTAAAGAGTTTTTCTTTATAGGCTGGTGCATTGTTAAACTTGCCATCTGGCCCCAACAGCTGATAGGACTCACACAGCCCTAGAGAGGCCCTAGAACTTTCCTCCTGGGACATATTTGGTGTCATGATTCCTAGCTCAGAGCTTTCTTTGACAAACACTCCAGAAAAAACCTCTACACTGGTAGTGGGAGTGGGGGGTGGAATCTTATACAGTAGCGAATTGGTTAGAGAAGGGTTTACTCACCTGCGGACCCGGTTGACCCTGTAATGAAAAAGAAGAAAAACAATTACAAAACTGTCATCCTCGGTGAACTTTTCATAATGGAAACTTAAACTACTTCAGAAAAATCTTTACAAACTCTAGTTGAAGATAACACTACTCAACTATGGCTAACTTAGCTTTCCTTGGTGACTTGAGACATCATATTGCACTTTAGGGGTGACAGTGATTGGAATGTATTGCACTTATAACTTGGTATGGTAGTTTGAAACTCCTTTATACAACTACTTAAAGATAATTTTAAAAAATTTAAGAAATTAGAGAAAATCATACTGCATCTTAGTATCTTTAAGCTATTCATCTAAAATTTTGATGTTATGGCTTATTAAATATAATTCCAAAATGATTCATAGGTTGTAGCATACTCTAAGTTTTAACTAGGAAAAGGGAATATAGAAAGAGTAAGACTTCACATTATTCAAACCCATGGGTTAATCACATCATTTTAATCAACAGGTAACTAAAAAAAGAGACAGGTGTATATATACATATATGTATGTATATATACATATATATATGTACATGCATATATATCACATCTCTTCTATGGGTTATATGAAAAATTAAAATGGAGGACTCTTGAAACTCAGAATCTCTTCAGGAGAATCTATTTGCTATAGTTGCTGAGATTTTTCTGGTTCCTATGGCCATTCTACAAATGAGAGACGTTTCCTGATTATACTTAAAATGAGGCATTTTTATATCATACTCAGTAAATGATTTAGCAAAACATATACATTGGTGATTATATGCAAATATGCACTGTGCTATGAATTTTATGTTAGTGAAAGTGAGAACAAATATTAGCAATAAAATTTGACAGATGCACTTGAAAGTCTATACAGTACCAAGCACCTGAGCACATTGGGG